AGGAGAAATGTTGAGTTATTTTTGTGTGTTTTCCAAGAATCGGAGGCAGAGGAAAACACTAAACAACAAAACAATTTAACCTAGCTGCAGGCAGGACCCCCTCGGACTCATTCTGGTCCATTACTGCGAGTTCTTGAAATGCGATAAAGTCTTTCTGTGGTCTCTCTCCAGTCTTTCTCTCTCTGGTCCCTCTCTCTGTGGTTTCTCTTTGGTTTGTCTCTGGTCTCTCTCTGGTCCCTCTCCAGTCTCTCTCTTTGGTCTCTCTCTGGTCGCCCTTTCTGGTGTCTCTCCCTCTCTCTCTCTGGCCTCTCTCTGGTCTTTCTCAGGTTTCTCTCTTTAGTCTCTCTCTGGTCTCTCTCTAGTCTCTCTCTGGTCTCTCTCTTTTTTCGCTGTAGCCTCTCTCTCTCTGGTCTCTCTCGAGTCTCTTTCTCTGGTTTCTCTCTTGTCTCTCCCTGGTCTCTCTCTCTAATCTCTCTCAGGTCTCTCTCTCTAGTCTCTCCCTGGTCTCTCTCTCTGGTCTCTCTCTCTCTCTCTTCGCTGTGGATGGGAGCTGTTCCGGTTTGAGCCAATAGTTTTATTGTTGTTAGTAATTAGCTTGGCTCCTGCTCCTGTGGTTTCCTTCTGCTGCAGAAAATCAAGCCAGAGAGAGAGAGGGAGAGAGAGAGAGAGAGAGAGAGAGAGAGAGAGAGAGAGAGAGAGAGAGAGAGAGAGAGAGAGAGAGAGAGAGAGAGAGAGAGAGAGAGAGAGAGAGAGAGAGAGAGAGAGAGAGAGAGAGAGAGAGAGAGAGAGAGAGAGAGAGAGAGAGAGGATGTGAGTTTAAATCAATAAAAGTTGGAGCTAATGGACCTAATGTCCTGTAAATGTGGTTTGGGTGAAGGTTAGTACTTTGATACAAATTGTAGCAACATAAAAACAGTTTCTCAGTCCTCGACCCTGTTCTCTCTCTACATCACACACAGCTGCTTTGAATCTGCTTTAGTTGGTCCTGGTTGTGTTCATGAATGTTTGCTCTCTCCCTCTCTCTCTCTCTCTCTCTCTCTCTCTCTCTCTCTGGTCGTTCTATGGTCTCTCTCTCTGGTCTCTCTATTTGGCTTCTCTCTTGTCTCTCTCTCTCACTCTCCTTCTGGTCTTTCTCTTTCTTTCTTACTTTCTCTCTCTCTGGTCCCTCTCTCTCCCTCTAGTCTCTCACTTTCTCTCTCTCTCTCTCTGGTCTCTCTTTATGGGCTCTCTCTCTCTAGTCTCTCTCTGGTCTCTCACTCTCTCTCTTCTCTCTTGTCTCTCTCTCTCACTCTCCTTCTGGTCTTTCTTTTTCTTTCTTACTTTCTCTCTCTCTGGTCTCTCTATGGGGCTCTCTCTCTCTCTAGTCTCTCTCTGGACTCACTTTTCTTCTCTCTTGTCTCTCTCTCTCACTCTCCTTCTGGTCTTTCTCTTTCTTTCTTACTTTCTCTTTCTCTGGTCTCTCTCTCCCGCTCCCTCTAGTCTCTCACTTTCTCTCTCTGATCTCTCTTTCTGGTCTCTCTCTATGGTTTCTCTCTCTAGTCTCTCTCTGGTCTCTCACTGGTCTCTCTTTATGGTCTCTCTCTCTTGAGTCTCTCTCTCTCTGGTCTCCCACTCTCTCTCTTTCTCTGGTCTCTCTCTCTCTCCTGGATAACTTTCTTCCATGGTCCTGATTTTACATAATCTTTTCAATTCAACAACATTTCAATGCATTTGTGTATAGCCCGAAATCAGCCACAACAGCAGTCGTCTCGTTGGACTTTGCAAAGTTGTCGATTCACCAACAACAGATCAGAGAATCACAGGAAATGTAATAATAACAAAACGCATAGAGCCATCAGTCCATAAGGTTTCAACCAAGTCCTCCTTCGCCCTCATACCCAGTTCTAGTCCTGGTTTAGTCTCGCTCTAGTCCCACATGGTCTGCCTATACGAGCCTGGGGTTACTTCTGAAAGCAAAAAAAGAACCAGGAGCAAAAGTTTAAACTAACAAACTTGTGAGCGAAGCGGCTTCATTAAAGACCGGGATCAAAGAAACCTCCTTTTCCAATGTTTAGGCTACACTTCCAGAGACATGTGCTGCACCGTGTTCTGTGATTGGTTTATTTGGACCAGAGGAAGCGAACCCCTCATTTACGACTGGAACAGGAAGCAGAGAGTTAGCCCGACCTCGGCGGTGCTGCTCCGACACGAGATAGTCACGAATGAAAAGGAGAGGACTGTTTATTGGCTTCTCTTCTTCACCTCTTTTTCTCCTCTTCTTCTCTTCTTCTCTGCTTACCCTCTTCTTCACCTCTTTTTCTCTGCGTCTCCTCTGCTTCTCCTCTTCTTCACCTCTTCTTCACCTCTGCTTCTCTTCTTCTTCACCTCTTCTTCACTTCTTTTTCTCCTCTTCTTCTCTTCTTCACCTCTTCTTCACCTCGTTTTCTCCCCTTTTCACCTCTTCTTCTCCTCTATTTTTCCTCTTCTTCTCTTCTTCTCTGCTTCTCCTCTTCTTCACCTCGTTTTCTCCCCTTTTTTCTCCTCTGCTTCTCCTCTTCTCTTCTTCTCTGCTTCTCCTCTTCTTCACCTCTTCTTCACCTCGTTTTCTCCCCTTTTTCTCCTCTGCTTCTCCTCTTCTTCACCTCTTCCTCTCCCCTGGTCAGATGAAGTTGATAGTTCCCTCTGCGTTCAGGTTTCATGGGTCCGTTTGATTTCCAACATAAACATCCACATCTTGTAACTTTTTCTTCCCCCATTCTATTCAGAGGCAGAGAGAGGCAAGAGAGAGAGAGAGACAAGAGAGAGAGAGACCAGAGCGAGACACAAGAGAGACCCCCAGAAAGAGCAGCGAGAGAGACAGAATAGAAAGACAATAGAGACCAGAGAGATAGACAAGAGAAAGATCAGAAAGGGAGAGAGACAAGAGAGGGACCAGGCAGAGATATAAACCAGAGAAAGGGGAGACCAGAGTGAGAGACCAGAGAGAGAGAGCGTAGTAAGAGACAAGAGAGAGAGAGACCAGAAGGAGAGGGACCAGAAAGACAGGGACCACAGAGAGACCAGCTCAAGAGACCAGAGAGAGCCTAGAGAGAGACCAGAGTGAGAGACCAGAGAGAGAGAGAGTAGTAAGAGACAAGAGAGAGAGACCAGAAGGAGAGAGAACAAAAAGACAGAGACCACAGATAGACCAACTCAAGAGACCAGAGAGAGCCTGGAGAGAGACCAGAGTGAGGGACCAGAGAGAGCCTGGAGAGAGACCAGAGTGAGGGACCAGAGAGAGAGAAGACTAGTAAGAGACAAGAGAGAGAGACCAGAAGGAGAGAGACCAGAAAGACAGAGACCACAGAGAGACCAGCTCAAGAGACCAGAGAGAGCCTAGAGAGAGACCACAGTGAGACATACTGTATTATCTTCCATTATACAGTACATTAATTGATAAATTCGCTTATTGTCATTTGTCTTTATGATTTTCAGAGTTAGGTTTTTAAATGTGAAACTGCCCCTGGTTAATTAAAAGAAATTGGAGTCATTTTGATGCTTTGGTGATTCCCTGATTAAACATTGGGGCCCTCACACACGCACACACACGCACACACACACACGCACACACACACACACACACACACACACTCGCACACGGACACACACAGAACAATGGTACGTCTGTTTAAAACACATATGCAGGTCACTGGGGCCAGAGATAGAGAGTACAGTTGGTGTTGGCGAGATTGGAGATCTTAAAGCCACTGTCAGAAGAGTAAGGAGATATGCTTTGTTAATTGAATCAGTGGAATAAACGTTTGGTCGAGGTTAAAGTTTAGACAGAAAACTAGTTGGAGTTTCACCTGAGATTGTGTCATCTTAAAGCAAAGGTACCTAATTTTCAAACCGCTAACAAATGTATTTATCTGTGTGATAAAAGTCAGATCAAGAAGTCCCTTTTCTTCCATCACTAGTTTTTAGAATAATGTATTTTTGTTCTCTCTCTTCACTCTCTGGTCTCACATTCTGGTCTCTCTCTGGTCTCTTTCTGGTTTTTCTCTCTCTGGTCTCTCTCTGGTCTCTCTTTGGTCTCTCTCTGGTCTCTCATTCTGGTCTCTCTCTGGTCTCTCTTTGGTCTCTCTCTGGTCTCTCATTCTGGTCTCCCTCTGGTCTCTCTTTTCTCTCTCTTGTCTCTCATTCTGGGTCTCTCTTAGGTCTCTCTTAGGTCTCTCTCTGGTCTCTCCTTTGTCTCCCATTCTGGTCTCTCTCTGGTCTCTCTCTGGGGGGTCTCTCATTCTGGTCTCTCTCTCTGGTCTCTCTTTGGTCTCTCTTTGGTCTCTCTCTGGTCTCTCATTCTGGTCTCCCTCTGGTCTCTCTTTTCTCTCTCTTGTCTCTCATTCTGGTCTCTCTTAGGTCTCTCTTAGGTCTCTCTCTGGTCTCTCCTTTGTCTCCCATTCTGGTCTCTCTCTGGTCTCTCACTGGTCTCACATGTATGTTTATTTCCCGCCACACGCTGTGGGCCGGGTGTATCTCATCTTTAGATCAGCTTTTTTAGACATAAAAGAGAAACAAAAGGACCACCCTCACTCAGCCAATCAGCTTTCACCTCAAATAGTCAAAAAGTGACTCACAGGGCTCTTTTGTAATAAATATTGATAATGCATTGGTTTTATAATGTGCTTTTCTGGACGATCAAACACTCTTCACTTCATTATTGAAACACACACTATAGACTCTCATTCTAATGTGGGTGAAGTGTTCCCAGAGGTCTCCCATCACAGCTCTAACCAGGCCCTGCTTTGCTTAGCTTCAGAGGCCTGACATGATCTGGCAAGTATGCAATAGATAACAAATTTGCACATCAGAGAAATACAGCAAGTTGAGACGTGACATCACAATATTTCTCTTTTACATGATTCTGATGAGACACAAAAACGTGTTATTGATGAAACTGAAATTAGGTCCCCCAGCTTTAAAGGTGCAAGTACTTCCTGTTTTTCAATGCTACAGATTAGAGCGTTGTGTTTGTGTTTTGGCAGGTCGCCATCAAGTCGATCCGAAAAGACAAGATCAAAGACGAGCAGGACAAGGTTCACATCCGGCGAGAGATCGAGATCATGTCGTCGCTGCGTCACCCTCACATCATCTCCATCTATGAAGGTGAGGAGCAAGGTTATTAGTATGGCACAGGTACAGCAAGCAACCCAGGCTCTGCCCTACTCTACTGTGCCATACCCTACTCTAGTCTAGTCTAGTCTAGTCTACTCTACTGTGCCATACCCTACTCTTGTCTAGTTTACTCTACTCTACTCTACCCTACTCTACTGTACCATTCCCCACTCTAGTCTAGTCTAGTCTAGTCTACTGTACCCTACCCTAGTCTAAGTCTAGTCTAGTTTAGTCTACTCTACTGTACCCTACCCTAGTTAGTCTACTCTACTGTACCCTACCCTAGTCTAGTCTAGTCTACTCTACTGTACCCTACCCTAGTCTAGTCTAGTCTAGTCTACTCTACTGTACCCTACCCTACTCTAGTCTAGTCTAGTCTACTGTACCATACCCTACTCTAGTCTAGTCTAGTCTAGTCTACTGTACCATACCCTACTCTAGTCTAGTCTAGTCTAGTCTACTCTACTGTACCCTACCCTACTCTAGTCTAGTCTACTGTACCATACCCTACTCTAGTCTAGTCTAGTCTAGTCTACTGTACCATACTCTACTCTAGTCTAGTCTAGTCTAGTCTACTGTACCATACCCTACTCTAGTCTAGTCTAGTCTAGTCTACTGTACCATACTCTACTCTAGTCTAGTCTGGTCTAGTCTACTGTACCATACTCTACTCTATGTCTAGTCTACTGTACCATACCCTACTCTAGTCTAGTCAGGTCTAGTCTAGTCTACTGTACCATACCCTACTCTAGTCTAGTCTAGTCTTGTCTAGTCTAGTCTACTGTACCATACCCTACTTTAGTCTAGTCTATCTAGTCTACTCTAGTTTACTCTTACTGCCTTACTAGTGGCGGCACGGTGCCTCTCAGTAATAAGGTCCTGAGTTCGAATCCCCCGGTCGGAACGGGGTCTTTTCTGAGTGGAGTTTGCATGTTCTCTCCGTGCTTGCGTAGGTTTCTCCGGGTACTCCGGTTTCCCCTACCACTAAAACAACATGCTCACTAGGTTTTAAATCCTCCAGCATCCGATAGTACAGACCTAGCCGAGCATCAACATCTGGAGATGGGTTCCCGGGCGCTGTTACTACGGCAACCACTGCTCCTCGACTAGGGATGTAAATCGGCGACCGTTTAACCGGTGGTTGACCGTCACAGCGTTACCGGTCAAAAGCTGTCGGTTAAAAAAGAGAAAAAGGGGAGAGGGAAGGTCTCTTTAATAACGCTATTTTAAGCCCTATTTGCACGATGTGACGAGCGGGTCTGTATCTAGCTGTGTGCGCCAATGTATTATAAACTCCGGGACGACTCTCACGCCGCACGAGCCACATATGCGCGCACACACACACACAACACACACTTTCCGTCAATCCTTTCTCCCCCTCTCCATCTCTCCATACGTAACATCCACACGCATCATCTCTCCCCCTGTTACCGTCAAAGTTGCACATCTGGCGCGGGTCAGAACTACATTGGAGACTTACATTTACTCACACTACATTCTTCCCCACACACATACATCACACACAATACACAACTACATATAACACGTAAATACACACTCATACCAGACTGTCGCGCTCATCTGTGTCACGCCTGAGCCCAAAGGATTCGCGCAAATACGCGGCTCCAGTCAAAACCACATGGAACATGTTTGTGTTTCTGGTCCTCGGGATCAGCTCCACACACATCACTTGTATTTAAACTTTTGTGAAGACCTGTGAGACGCGGCTCGTCACTCGCTGCTCTGACCATGTGAACGAGCCGTCGTTTGCTGCTAGACATTTTTGGTATTAACCCGCAGCACAGCAGAATGGGAAGATTAAAAAAGCAGTTCTCTGTGCGCAAAGGTGCCGGAGCTGTTGCGGGTTTTGGCGCCGCTGTCTCGACTCTGATCCAGTAGAACGCAGAGCTGCACTTATGAAAAGTACGTGGTTCGAAATGGCTGTTATTTCAAAGAACGTGGACTATTTTAAACTACGCGGTTAACCGGTTTCAACCGGTTAATGAGGCTCGGTGGTCGGTCATGAAAATTCATAGTTTTTTACATCCCTACTCCTGACGTAAGCGTTTGCATTTGACCCATCCTGATGCCGCAGAGGATGAATTGCCCTACGTGGATTAATAAAGTGCACCATTCCATACCATACTTTACTCTACGCCTACCCTACTCTACTTTACCCCACTCTTTCAAGTCTAGTCTAGTCTAGTCTACTCTACTCTTCGCTCTTATACCTGGACAGGTTTTTATTAGTAATCTGGTACCATATGCGAGCAACCTACCCACAACAAACCACACAGATATAGACACACACACTCACACAAATACACACACACACACACACACACACACACTCACGCAAATACACACACACACACACGCACACACTCACGCAAATACACACACACACACACGCAAATACACACACAAACACACACACACACACACACATGCACACACACACACACACACACGTCTCCGTCTGGTTCTCCATCTTTGATTCATGTGAGTCTGGATGTGTGCATGTGGTACACGTTAATATGAGGCTGTTCTGTGGGCGGGTTTCCTGGCCTTGTGGGAACTGTAATCTTCTCTCTGTGGGGGTGAGAGAAACTGCACTGGTTGAAATTATAACACAGGTTCATTTAGAATATGTTCATTCTTGTTACAATCACAAGAACAGGAACTGAAGCTAATGTCCCACAAAACCTCTAAATATGATGTGATTGTACTGGCTTGTGAGGATAGTATGAGTTAGTAAGTGTAGAAGACACCAGGATTGAGGCTGTAGATCCAGACTGGGCTTGTAGATCCAGGACTGGGCTGTAGATCCAGGACTGAGGCTGTAGAACCCAGGACTGAGGCTGTAGATCCAGGACTGAGGCTGTAGATCCAGGACTGAGGCTGTAGACCCAGGACTGAGGCTGTAGATCCAGAACTGAGGCTGTAGATCCAGGACTGAGACTGTAGACCCAGGACTGAGGCTGTAGATCCAGAACTGAGGCTGTAGTTCCGTAGATCCAGGACTGGGGCTGTAGATCCAGGACCGAGGGTGTAGAACCAGAACTTCTCGAAGAACATTCAAACCGTATAATACATTATCAATACGCTTTACCCATAGTCATTTATAATTGACTTTCTGTTAGAATTAAGTGAAGTTCCAAGTTTTTTCTAGTCCTGCTTCAGTATTAGTCCAATATTAAACCTGGAACTATAGAATCGTAAACAGGGCAATCTCCTTTCATTATTCCTCCAGACACAAACTAGATTAAGTCTGGCTCGTGGAGATATCAAAATACCAAACTACTGCCTTTCTCCTTGGTATTGAAATGTCCTCGTACTTCATTCAAACCTGCGTGTGTGTGTTGAGGGCATGTGGGGGAGAAGGGGGGGGGAGTATTTTAGGGGATTCC